TTACTGGTGACTTACGCTGCTAAGTATCTTGCATATATGATCTTCATTTATGATCTTTGCTACTATTACTGCTTCTCTTTTAGGAAGTGCAGAACCTGAGACACAGGGCAGTTAAACAGATTGCCCAAGGTCCTATGCCTTAGAGAGCCCTGCAGCCAGAACGTAAACCCCTGCCTTTACTGATCTCCACCCCCAGATGCAGTTCCTGGGAGCATAGTTCCCCTCTCAAGAGTACTAAAGGCTCCATATTACTTCTGTACTGGTTTCTTTCCACTTCCGTGACACAACGCCTCATGGAGGGAGTTTAAGGAAGGGAGGGTTATTTTGCCACACAGTTGGAGGGTGTAGCCATCATGGCAGCAGAAGTGTGAAGTAGCTGGCCACTCTGCATCTGTGTAAGGAAAGAGATGAAAGCTAGTACTCCGTTCCTTTTCTTACTTCTGTTTGGCCCAGGACCCCAGCCCATGATGATACTGCCCACACTTAGGGTGGGTCTCCCATCTTAGTTAACCCAATCCAACTCCCTCACAGACATGCCCAAAGGCTTATCTCCTAGGTGATTTGGGACCTGTTAGATCAATCTGTATAGAACTATCAATGTCAACCATTACAAGGCCCAGACAAACTGAAAACACTCTTGGATGGAAGGTAGACCCCTCCACAATGCATTAGCTGTCTGCTGTTGCTTTTATTTTATTATTATTATTATTATTATTATTATTATTATTATTATTATTATTTTGGTTTTTCGAGACAGGGTTTCTCTGTGTAGCTTTGCGCCTTTCCTGGAACTCGCTTTGGAGACCAGGCTGGCCTCGAACTCACAGAGATCCGCCTGTCTCTGCCTCCCGAGTGCTGGGATTAAAGGCGTGCGCCACCACTGCCCAGCCTGCTGTTGCTTTTAATGCATGTTCTTATGTTTCCTGATCTCTGTGTATTTTGTTTTGTTTTACCTGAACTTGTGACCTCATCTGAACCTGGCTTGTTTCTTTCCCATTTCAACAAGTTAATTCATGTGCGCCTCTCTAATTAGAATGCCTTCATCCGTGTCTTCAACTATTAGAATCCTTAACAACTTTCAGGGGCCTGCTCTTTGGTTCTGGATAAGCCCTGTCACGTGTGTTGTCTCTGCTGTTAGCATCATGTCCATTTGCTCTGATGTACTGAAATCTTTTTAAAAGTGGAGAACAGAACTGAGCGTTTTCTTGCCTTACCTGCAGGGCCCAGCACTACATGCAGTGAGTGTCTCGACACATAATTTTCTGGTTGAATACAGTTTTTGTTGTTGTTGTTTAATTTACTCATTTATGTTTTTGTTGTTTCCTTCATTCGTCTTTTGAAGTAACAACATACAAAATACCCCCTAGTGTTCTTTGTATGGACCGTTGCTCTCCCCCAGAATATTTCTTAGCTTCTTTTGTTATATTAAAGGGTGAAATGGAAGGTTAAGAGTTAGAAGCGCATTTGATCTTTTCCTGACCCTCTCCTGACTTTGTGTGACTTGAAGCATGTCACTTGAACCTCTCAGTGACCCCAGTTGTCTGGTGTCACAGAGGAACTGTGCAGAGCAGCAAATCACGGCCCTTGTCTGAGCCAAATCACCTTCAGGGCTCTGCTACCCGCATGGAACCATGGGGGTTTCATTTCCCAACTCAGTGGTCAGTTGGCCACACTTCAAGTGTCCGTGGGACCAGTGAGATGAGAGCCCTGCTAATAGCATTTCCAATTTTTATATATTCTTAATTGAGTCCTACTTTATAAAGACTTGCTGAATTTTCTTCCCCAGACTTGAGATGAGACAAGAGAACTTTCCAGGTATTTTTTTTTCAAAGAAGCTAATTTTAGGAAAAACAGGAAGTTCTCTGTACCATGCAATTTAGGTTTTTTTCTGCTTCACAAAGCACATTTAGAAAATGATGTTAACCACACTTTAGAAATAACTGATAATCACCTGCATGCTCGCTGGAACACATTCGGCCAGCTTTTGTTTGTTTGCTCTTGGTAGCAAGACCATTGCAGATAAGTAGAGCGGAAAACACCACAAATACTGTTAGCCGGCCTGCAAGCAGAACCTTTCCCTGCCAGTAATGCCTCCTGCACCATCTTTCCAGTAGTAATGCTTGGGGAATGAACTGGATTCGCCAGGATTGTTTGTGTCCTGATGGGAAAAGAAGCCATCTAACGGGATTTCTTAGCCTTGTATGTAGCATGCGTTGATTATCATTCCCGGAGTGCTTTGGATTTCTGCAGCTTTTAAAACAGCATTTAAATGGACCATTTGATTAATCATTTGTATCCTGGCTGTAATCCTCCCAAATTTCCTTTCTGAGTTGTACATACTGTAAAAGACAATTATGTCGCCACAGATTAAATAAGTGAATTAAAACAGAATAGTGGCTTAATTTGACCTGTGATTTTGTTCTCCTCGCCTTTAGTGGAGCGCATGCCACTCCAGCAAATAAATGAAGTCATCCGTGACAGCTCGTGATGAATTGCCGTATTTATACTGTATATTTTAATAGTCTCCCACTAATTTAAATTGAGCACAGAGTAAATTATAATTCAGTCACTTGACTGCTTGTATTTAACCTGACAGCGCATCCTTGTGTGTCCTGGAGGTGTTAGCGGAGGGAGAACAGGGAAGGCAGGCAGGTGCCTCCATGCCGGCTCAACCCTTTCTGGAGGAGCTGCTTCCAGCTCCTTCTCTCCGTCTGAAGCGCTGGTTCAGCCTGCGGAGTAAAGACTCGGGCGGTCCACACTGTCCTCAAACTTCAAAGGGAAAAATCCACATTCACTGTGCTTTTCTCAACTTGCCTTCGGAGGAAGGATTGGTCTGTTTATTTTTAGCAGTTTTGAAGCTCACTGGCAAGAATACTCAGGGGAAGGGAGTTAACCTTTCACCAAGTGCCAGGCTCTCGGAAAACTGAGCGCATGTGCATGCCCTGTGGCAGCATGGAGAGGATTTCCCCTCTCAAATTTTCAAAAATGACCTGATTATTTGCTTTTTCGGGGTTATGGAAGAGAGCTCCAAACCGATCAGCTCTACGAATACAATAAATAGTCCTCACTCCAGTCTCGGTCAGTGTGGCCCTTTGGTTTGTTTGGTGTTCGCGTCTTTGGTTTTTGGTTTAGTTGCAGACATCACGTGACCCATTTCCCTGTGTCTAATAACAGCACGTCTGGAGGACTGTCTTTAAGGAACGCTTTGATTAAGGTCCTTTTCAGTGATTGGGTGCTACTGTGAGCCCTTGTGCTGGGCGCCGAGGTATAAAGAATACTCAGACCCCACCTTGCCCTTGAACCTTATAGCGCTCTGCTCTGGAAGCTTTTAGATGTCTGGGGGCATTAAAGCCGATTGCGGTCAAGAGCAGTAAGGGTCAAGCCAGAGATGAATTCTGATGAAGGGCTTTGAGGTGGGTGTCTGGAGGTGGGGAGGCGTTCGAGCTGGGTCTAAAAGGTCAAACAAGCTTTTGTAATCGGTGACTGTGGAGTGGAGAGAGGAAACACTGGTAAGGTGGTGTGGGGGGACAGGAAGGAGGCTGTGTAGAAAGAGCGAGGGGAGGGGTTAGCTTGAGGCACAACCTCCTGGTGTCCTGGAGTTGCAGCTTAGTCCAGGTGATGGAAACTCATGCAAGGTTCTCAATCAAGGGAAAGAAAAGTTCTCCATTGGGATCAATTCCAAAGTGTTGGCTAGTGGCGTGCGTTGGTAGAAAAGGCAGTGCCCACCTCCACTCACCCCGAACGCCTTTTTTTCTTACTTAAATGGGTGTCAGCATTAAAAATATACATAATGTGCATATTAGCCAGAGATGGTGGCACATGCCTTTAATCCCAGCACTTAGGAGACAGAGGCAGGTGGATCTCTGAGTTCGAGGACAGCCTGGTCTACAAAGAGTTCCAGGACAGCCAGGGCCACGCAGAGAAACCCTGCCTCAAAAAACAAAAAACAACAACAAAAATGTGCACATGAGAATAGTCATTTTCTTTCTTTGTGGTTTATGCAATTCATACTTTTTACTGTAGTCAATGTAATGATTCATATTTTTCACTTGTGATGCAGTGTAATTTAGTGTTGAATGTTGCAGAATGGTGCTGTTATGGCAATCATGAATATTAGGTTTTTACCGAGAAATGTTTAGACTCAAACTCTGCCACAATTCTCAAAAATTATTATTCATCTATTTTCCATCATGTCTGTCTTTTAAAAGTATATTTTTAAAAAGAACAACATTTTAAAATTTGTTTTCACTGAAGTGCTTAGTGGTTGAGCTGGGTTCTGACTCTTGGTAGCATGCTTGCCCAGCATTTATGAGAAGGCCTGAGTTCAGGCACCAGTGCACACACCCGCCCAAGGAAAGAGAAGAGGCTAAATTAAACTAGAGCTGGTCCTAGGCAAGTCTGGGTCCTCACACTTGGACATTTCTGTGTTATAAAGTCCGCCTTAGTGGCAGATACTTAAGGAAAACCACAACACTTCAAGAGGCCCTCCCTGGCAAAGCGTGGGAGTCAGGTGACCTGAGACCCTACCAGCGTTTGTGAAGAAACATTACCCACATGGGAGGAAATAAGGTGACAGCATTTTAAAACCCCCATTTCTTTGATTTCTAAAAATCTCATTTTAAAATGTTATTTTATTTACCATCCCCTCTGCTCATCTGTGAGTCTGTGGCTCACAGGGCTCTTCTCTTTTAATGATCTTCTTCTGAAAATAACCAGTGCGGCTAAAATAGGGTACATAAATTGAGTGTTATAACTTAACTGACTTTTAAAGCCATTAATGCTGACCTCTGAGCCCTGGCTTCTTCCAGGGTCCCATCAATCACTTCTGGACCGCCTCCTCCTCTACAAAGGCTTGGGCAGAGACAGAGACAGTTTTTGGTGTTGGGAATTATAATGGGGGCTGCATAAAGAAACGACCACCTTTCTTTAGTTCTTGTGCTTCACATGCTGTGTAACTTGAAGGTAGACATGTGCTGATGCTGCTCTGTGTCTGTACTCAGGTTATTCTGTTAGACATTACACTGGAGCTTCAGAAGCAGATCATGTCTGAGTTGGAAATTCTTTATAAGGTAATTTCTTTCTCGGTCACTTTTGTCTATAAACTGTGTATGTGTCAGCTCCCGGTCACCAACCACTGTTGTCTGATTTTTCTTACAGTGTGACTCATCGTATATCATAGGATTTTACGGGGCATTTTTTGTAGAAAACAGGATTTCAATTTGTACAGAATTCATGGATGGTGAGTTCTTCCCTTTAAACTATATTAGAAATGACTTTTGGAATCGGCTGCCTTAAACTTGGTTTTGATATAGATGTCAAGGAGATTTTAGAATGATTGAAACGTGTTAATTGTTGTTTCCTTTACACTAGCAATTCTCTTCCTGTAAAGGGTCCTGGTGTTAAATATTTGTAGGTGGGCTACAATTTCAAGAATGCAAGTTGGTTTCCTTTTACTAAAAATTAAAATAGGACAGACGGCACGCGGGTCCAGTCAGCGCGAGGGGCTCTCTGCCTGCCTCTGTGCAGCGTGTGTTTGCCGGGGAACAGATGTTCTGTTCTTTTAATGTTTCAGTCGCCAAAACAGATTTTCTTCTAAAGAAATCTATTAACCCAATGTCCTGTGTCTTTCAGAAAGAAATAGGTTCTTAATTGCTAGACAAGAAATTGTTTTTCAACACAGCTGTTTAGCCGAGCTGCATTTGGCTCTCTTTGGACTCAGCCCTGCCCTCCCTGCTCTCTGTTCACTGCTCTCGGTAGCTCTTCCTTGATCTGAATGTTGTGACAGAATGCAGACTTCTGGGAACCCTATCACTGAAGGGTGGTGGTTATTACTGGCTATCCACTTTAAATCTGGACAATTTTCACCTTTTAAAAGGTCAGTTTTTCAGTATCTAGCCTCCATTAAAATGCAGCATACATGTTTTTCTACTTTCTCAGGTACACACACACACATCATACACACAGACACACACACACAGACACACACACACACACACACATATATATATATAATACACACACCACAAATATACGATATATGCATACAGACACACCGCATACATGCACACATATACATACATACCACACATACACACGCCACACATAGCCACATATACACACTACACATACACACATGCACAATTGCATTCACCTTTCTACTTCTTTAAGTACACATACACCATGCATACACATCCACTACACATCCACAGTACACATACACACACACACACACCACATATACCACACATATACACAAATGCATGCACCTTTCTATGTCTTTAGGTATACACACCACACACACTGCACATATACATACCGTACACACACACACAAGCACACACACTGCACATACACACACACATACACTCCCCTGCCACAGCACACATATACACACAGGCACACTTTTCTACTTCTTCAGTAAACACACACATACCCCACATATACACACATGCACACTACACATACATACACACCCACAAATACACACACATACAGGTACATTCACACAAATATACACACACCCTTGTGGGTATCCTTAGGATTGCTATCAAATCATATAAGCACATAGGTAGTGTAGGTGGGCACCAGTCAGAAAGCACTGATTCATAATCCCAGTACAGGGCACTCTTCTGAACGTTCACCATTTGAGATCTGCATAATTTTCAGTTACATTAAAATACTTTCTATTAGCTGGGCATTGGTGGCTCATGCCTTTAATCCCATAACTTGGGAGGCAGAGTCAGGCAGATCTCTGAGTTCAAGGCTAGCCTGGTCTACAGAAAGAGTTCCAGGACAACCAAGGCTATACAGAGAAATCCTGTCCCATAAAAAACAAACAAACAAACAAACAAACAAACAAACAAACACCTCACTTTTTATTAAGGTAGAATTCAGATACCATAAAATTCCCCATTTTGAAACCTACAGTTTATTGCTGTCTAATTTCAAAACATTCTAAAGAGAAAGCCTCAGGCAACCTAAGTTGCTCATCTCATCCCCTCCATCTCCCCCGGCAGCCATGGGTCTCCTTCCTGCCTCTGTGGATGTACCTATTCTGGATATGGCACATTGTACATCAACGGGATCCCATAGTCTACAGCCTTTGTGCCTGGCGTCTCTTGCTTGTATATTGTTTCCAAGTTTATCCTTAGAGAAGCAGGAGCAGTCTGCCATCTCTTTTCATCACGGAATAGTATTTCATTGACTGACTATATACAGCATTTGTTTTTCTTTAATTGATAGTCACTTTGGATATTTTCACTTTTTACATCTAAAAGATATTTATTTTTATTGCATGTGTCTGAGTGTGTGAATGCGTGCACAAACAAGTGTGCATGTGTGCTACTGCTTGCTCTTGGAGGTCAAAGCCTGTGGGAGCGGACTCTCCCCTTCCACCATGTGGGTCCCAGGGATCAAATTCAGGTGATCAGGCATGGTGCCAGTGAAGTTGCCAGATCCTGTAGCAACTCTTAACCTTGAGGAACTTCCAAGCTGTTCTAGTCTGTCAGTGTTCAAATCATGTGCAGTTACTGTAATTACTTAAAAATATTTCAACTCAACAATAGAAACACCAGTCACTCACTTGAAAACCAGTGTGTATTTCTCAAAGGAAGATGTCCAGTGGTCAACAGCCACATGAAAAGATATTCAACAACAGTGGTTATCAAGGAAACCTAAATCAAAACTACATCCATGGCTGGGCTGTGGTGGTGCACACCTTTAATTCCAGCACTTGGGAGGCAGAGGCAGGCGGATCTCTGTGAGTTCGAGGCCAGCCTGGGCTACAAAGTGAGTTCCAGGACAGCTAACACTATTACACAGAGAAACCCTGTCTCGAAAAACAAAACAAAACAAAACAAAACAAAAATCTACATCCATGTTCAGATCTGAGACCACGCACACATACAAAATAAAATCAAACACATAATAACAAGTGTTGGCAAAGGCATAGAGAAGTTGGACTCCTCAGACGATGTTTGTGTGAATCCAAAATGGTATAATATAGACTAGAATAGCTTGACACTTCTTCACATAGAGTTACCACAGGACCTAGCAAGTCTGCTACCACAGAAACCCAAGTGAACTGACTAGCACATGTACACAGTAGCCTGTGTGCACAGCAGTGTTACTCTCAAGTGACCAAGAGTAGAAAAGTCCCCAGCCATTAAGATGGCCCAGTGGGTAGAGACACTTGATCCATATTGCATTCTTCGTATGTCTTCTCATGCTATTGGTCCTGTGTCTTTTAGTTACTGTTAACCTCAGACATTCCTGTTTTGTTCCATTTAATTCCTAACTCATTAATAGTCTGTTTCAGGTGGAAGGGCTAGCTTCATACCTCCCTTTAGGTCTTTAAACATGCTTTATATAAACAGGGTGATTTGGAGGTTAGCATACAGTCTTCTGGTGATATACAACAAAGCACACAAAATCACTAAATCTGTGTATCACTCCCAGATTTCATTCTCTCTCCTGTGTAGTCCGATTTCTTGACAACTTCCTCTCTGATTAGTGTATTTTCATCTCATACTATGATCTATTTGCAATATTTACTGAGCATTTTCTTTCAGATACTGCTGTAAACCTGGGGACACCACAGTGACCAAGACTTAGCCCTTGTCCACAGGATACATATTCTAAAGTAACCCTTGTTCTCAGGGAATATTCTAGAGATATCTGGTACATTCTCAGGGAGGGATAATCCATGAGCGCATAGAGCACGATGGATGGGCTAATAGAGCAGGTGCTGAGCAGGGCATCAGAGGCAGAAGTGACATTGAGTAGAAACGCTAATGAGCTAGTCAGGGACACCACTGGGATGCTTGAACAGGCAGAGTGGCATGTGCCAGTGCTCCCAGATGAATGAAACCACCGAGGTGGCTGGAGAGTGATGTTGTAAGGACCAAAGACTGCCCAGGAGGCCTGAACCATCAGAGCCTAGAACCTCGTGGGCCTCAGAGGCTACAGCAAGGAGTTTAGGTTTGAGGCTGAATTTATTAGGAAGACATTGGAAAGTTTTTTAGGAGAAGAATGTGACCTACCCTCATACTCAGTCAAAACAAAATCTCAGAAACATCTAGCTAGAGGATCTCAGAGTATGGACATGTTTGGATTACCACCACAGGAATAAATTGTGCCCCGCACCCCCAGCCAAAACAAAACAAAACAAAAAAACCCTGCATTGCAAAGAAGGAAAGGGCTTTTATATGTTCGGCTAGCAGGAACTTAAAAAATCTTGTATTAAATTTTTTTTGTTCACATTGTTAACATTAATAATGACTGTGGTCATTTCAAGCAAATTGGAAGTTATCATAATGGTATTGTTGCTTCTGATACCTCACTTCATACTTATATTTAACCTACATACAAAGACCCTACTTGCAATTTAGATCTTGTAACACGGTAGCACAGACCTATAGGACTGTGTAAGTGAAGATGGCGGCCCTAATCCTTCAGCAGAAACATGCCGCTCTTCAGTACCGTGCATGGGTTTCTGCTGATCTACCAGCAGTCTTCCTCTGGCTTACCATGTGGACGGTGGCTTGCAGTACAATAAGTGGTCATGGGGATGGGGTGGTGAGGGAAAACGGAAGTGATACTCACAGGGAGCAAGCCTGTGACCTGAATAAGAAGCTAAAAGTCCAGCCCTGGAACCACAGATGAGTGAATTCCGAAAGGTCTTGCCTAAAGTAAGGCCTCGAGCTGTAGCTCAGTGGGGAAGGCTTTGCTTCAAGTGTCTGAGATCCCAGGCCACATCCCCAGTCCAGTCAAAATCCAGCCTTGAATAAGAAATCTCGGGCCACATGACACGGTCAGTGTGTGTCGTCATGTCACATTGTGGAGAGGTAAAACTCACAGAAAGGTCCCTTGTGATTCCACTGCTATGTGATGTTGGGACAGAGGGGACTTTGGGCATATTCAGAGGCTCAGGTCTTCTGAGTGTGGTTGTCACATTTGCATTAATGGGACTCAGTTTCAAATAAAGTCAAATAAGGCTGGTGGATTCCTCATTAGCACTCCAGCACTACCGTTTATGGTGTGCCAAGTCAGAGAGTTGCCTTCTATGGAGCGGTGTACAGAATAGAGCTGGCACTGGAACCAAGGGAAAACTAGCCCAAACCCTCTCCATTTAGCCTCTGAGAGGGAGTGCTCATCAGAATTAACAGGCTCTCGTGACTGAGTGGATCTACGGCAGTATCATCTTTTCACCTCTTAATTTATCTCTGTGAGCATGGGAAGGGTGGGCTACATCTGATGGTACAGAGCCAGCTCCATAAAGACCCGTCCATGTGGGCAGCTGAGGACTACAGGGTGTTTACAGGTGCCAGTGAACTGCCTTCAAGTAAGATTCCCTTTCCCTTATTCTATTGATAATGGTTGTGGTGTCACCATTGGCTTTCAGCTTAGCTTGGTAAGACCACTGTCCACTTAGCTCCTTACAGCCTCTTCTGTAACTTACATAGAACTTCTTGTTGGTGTGGGTGGGCGGGCTCATTCCCCAAGGGTTGAGTCCATTGGCTTCCTGAGGAACCGCCCCAGTAAGCTGCTGTTGTTAGTGTTCCCGATACCACATAGCAAGCTTTTTCATCTGGAATTGACTCATCCATGCAACTGCCTATGCACCCGAAAAAATCAATGGGAACACTGTTTTTCTGCCACATTTTCTCTTTTATTGCATCTAAAATAAAAATATTTTAGTAAATAAGGATGTTTCCACTCTTTGCACCAGTGTTTTGTTTTGTTTTTCCATATCTCCCCAGTAGCACTGAGAGCCACAGCACAAAGTTACTTGTACTGTGGTTACTCAGCCTGTGCTCAGAGTCCGGGAGCTGCAAGCAGAAATGACCTAAAGGAGTGATCATTTTCCTACACCTGCTTTCATCAGGATACATAGGAAGCTATACCTCTGTGATGTGTGTGCCATTTTTAACAGAACAGTAGCTTTAGGGAATATGACATACCATAATAGTCTATTTGCACAGAGCGTGTCTTAACTGCGTTTCAGAAGAGTGACATGTTTCATTTTCAAACCTTATTAGGTGTTTTTTAATCATCAGTGGTCACATCATAAATATGAAATTTTAGTCTTGACAGAAAAAAAAGTTACTTCTGAAACATCCTGGGTACCCTCTTCATAGTGATAAAAGACTACACTTCAGTTTGACTCTAAGGGGATATTATATATTATTAGCTTAGTTCTCATCATATTGTTAGCAAGTGAAGTACTCGTTCCCTGCAGAGTATATGTAAGTTATGTTGTTGAGATTCTTAATGCATTCCTGTTTATACTTCCTGATGAGTTGGACTCTCAGAACAATTGCCTTGGGAATTGCATGGTATCTGGTCATTCCGGGGACTGTGGTGATTCCAGGGACTGGTGATTCCCGTGGCTGTGGTGATCTGTTGCTACAGCTGGTTTAAAATCCTTTCCTGGAAGCTGCTGAGAGCATTATGGCCAGTGAGATAGGGTTCCTTCTAGCACTGATGTTTGGTTTCATAAGTCCAAGAGTTACCTTTTTTGGCTAGACCTATAGGATAGAAATGATGGTAGAACTGGTAAGAATTAAAACCAAATCCTCTGCCATTTTTAGCCTAAGAATGACCCACCAGGCAGTGGTGGCACACATTAAGCCCAGCACTCAGGAGACAGAGGCTGGTGGACCACTGAGTGTGAGGTCAACCTGGTCTACAGAGTGAGTTCCAGACCAGGCAGGGCTATAGAATGAGACTCTGCCTCAAAATGAAAAACATACAAACAGAAATCCAGAAGGACTGAACTCCACAGAGCACTCATCAGTCAGCAGGTCTCCTGACTCTGAGGGGCTCTGCTGTGTCCTTTCTTTCCTGCCAACCTTCTCTCAGAAGAGCACGGGAAGGACAGCAGGACGAATCTGCCCAGTGGTCTTTCAGTTTTAGAAAATGTCAAAGGTGATTTACCAAAAGTCGGAGTTGACGGATAAAGCAGTATAGTAGTGAGCCACAGTCTAGTGAAAATAAATTAGATGGAGGGCCTGTGCGATGGCGCTGCAGGTCAGGTCACCTTAGCTCAGTCCCTGGACCCACACGGCGGGAGGGGAACACAAGCTCTCAAAAGTCGACCTCTGACCTCCACAGGTGGACTCACACATCCATGCACACACACAATAAATAGGGAAAATGTAATTAAAATAAAACAGGCCGGGCGGTGGTGGCGCACGCCTTTAATCCCAGCACTCGGGAGGCAGAGCCAGGTGGATCTCTGTGAGTTCCAGGCCAGCCTGGACTACCAAGTGAGTCCCAGGAAAGGCGCAAAAACTACACAGAGAAACCCTGTCTCGAAAAACAAAAAAAAATAAATAAATAAATTAAAAAAAAAATAAAAAATAAAAATAAAACAGAACTTGAGAGATTGTGTTTTATTTTTACCTCATTGGTTTTCATGGTCCTCAAGGAGCCGGGGGTTGATCAGTTGATTTTCATGGAAAACTTAGCCTTGTTGCTTCTGCTGTGCAAGCCTTTGTGTGTGTTTTGAGGTTCGTACCCACCCACATTTGTTTGATAAGTGGGAGAATTCTAAGATAAGGGTCTCCAGGTTGCCATGTGAGAAAGTGGACATGAAGCATCAAGTGTGGCCGTTGGGGTCATTTCTGTAGTTTTGTTGACTTTTACATTTTCATAGAGGGCCGGTTCTTAGCTACCCTCCTAGTTCCCTTCAGTTTTTAATGACTGGATTTTTAAATGGAAGTAGCTGGCCACGCTCTTCCAGAAGTGCAATTATGTCACTCATAAAAGTAGAGCTGAAAGCCAACTTTGCTCTCCATATTCTGTAAGTGACATCAGAGAATGGAAATGGCATTCTCACGAGGCAGGCACAGAGGAGAGTCCAGTGCTCTGTGCCAGTGATTCGCTTGTAGTAATGCCACATCTTTGTCTCTACAGGGGGGTCTTTGGATGTATATAGGAAAATTCCGGAGCATGTCCTCGGAAGAATTGCAGTGGCGGTAAGTATATTGGCTTCAATGGAGGGAGTCTATTTAAACCCTCCTGTCAAGTCCATCCCTAGGTTCTCAGATGCGTCCTTTCTTTCTCTCCCAGCTGGCTGTTGGGTCCTTCTTACCATCCGTTGTTTCTGTCTTTTCCTCTTCTAGTGGGCTGACCTCCAGCATAGTCCCCCTGGCTTGTCAGGACTGTGATTACAGGGACCTTGGTGCCTGGGTTTCTAATTTCATCAGAGAGAAAACTGGTACAGGGGACATTCTTAGTTATAGAATTTGAAAATGATTTAAATTAGTGAAACAGTCTATAAACAAAATACATTTGCTCTTAAATGGTTTTGCAGTCTTCTTATGCTTTTGGTTTTAGTCTTACCTTTTAGGGACTTTATCTAGGATTCTGTGCCCTTTGTGATGAGAAGCAGTTTTCTTATCTTCTGTACTCACTAATAAATAGACAAATTATATCATCTAAACTGGCATTATTATGTAAGTCCCATATTTGAGATTTGGAATAATATAAGCTAACCGTATCTAAAAAGAGTCACTGGGTGCTGTAATCGTAAACAATTGCTAAAGTAAAGACGCTCTGTTAAATTAAGTGGTTTAATGCAGAACAAAGTGATTATATCATGTACCATTTAATTAAATGGCTTATTTTCACATTCATTATACATCAAACTGACAACTCAAATTCTTTAATCCAACATGGACACTTACTCAGGCTTAGTTCATTGTAATTCACAGCTTTCCTTTTTTCTTTCTAATTATTGGTGTGAACTGCCCAGGGTGATGAGCACTCTCCTTTCTGATGCTGCCTCTGCCGAGCAGCTTCTCATCTGCACATGAGGCAGAGTATTCAGGATGCAATCTGAGTACTGAAATCAGTGCTTTAGATGAAAATAAAAATGTTTCCTTTCCTCTTCTAATCTCCGAGGGGAATGATTGCTTTGCGGCTTTTGGCAGTTCTTGGCTCTAGAGTTTAGTAACACGTATAATAAAGGGCAAGAAGAGGCAAGGAGAAGGGCTAGGAAGCAGGGCCGTCTGCAAGTCCTGCGTTCCCATCATCTCCTGAACTTGGGAAAATAGAAATCCGCTTTGTGCGGTGGAGACGCATGTTCTTTCCTGGCCTCATCAGTCTTGGCTCCCTCCCGTGTGGAGCACCAACAAGGCCACTCACTGGGCTTTCTGATTCAGCCAGGATAGGAAGGTTGGAAAGTGAAGAGTCAGCAGACAAACTGCCAGCGTTAAATACGGGGCTTGCTTTTGGGCGATTCCAGAATGCTTTAGCAAAAAGCATTAAAATGGGTGCGAGTCCAGGCGGGGTGGATGGTTTTGAATCAGGGGCAGTCTAACAAGACAAGGGCAGTTCGTCCACTTCTGCAGTGCTCCAGGCCGTGCTGATGAGAGCTTTGGTGTGGGAGGAGAGGAGACACTCTGGACAGCTTCGCTCTTCTGACAGCTTTCATGAACTCCGTTAGTGCCCTACACTTGTATAATACCTTCACAGTGTGTGTGTGTGTGTGTGTGTGTGTGTGTGTGTGTGTGTGTGTGTGTGTGTGTGTGTTTGTGTGTGTGGTCTGGATAGACTCCAAACATGGGTGACTTTCCAGTCTGGCCTAGGGATAGCATCTGACACCATAAGATCTTAGCAGTCCAAATGCACCTATCACCCCAATGGGTGGTCCCTGGTGGCTTGTAAAATGCACGTGCACACAGCCTGTTCCGGTTCTCGGTTTCCCTGGTTACTTTTCCTGAGTGTTCCAAAGATGGCATCAGTTTCTTTCCTTCGAATCCCTCAGCTAGGCCAAGCAGGCACATGCAGATAGCCTCGACTCTGTCCAGTCCAACAACAGAATCAGATGGGTCTGTGTGAGTACTTGAGTGCCCGCCTCTGTGGTCTACTTATGGATGAGTTCGCCGCCTGAGCAGCCCTGTAATGTGAGAATGGTTGAGCACATCAGTACTAAGCAAAACAGAACAGCTAAATAACTGCCCCCTGCCAGTGCTATCCTAGGTATAGGGTGCTCCTTCACTCTGTTTTCTGAGAAGCCGGGGGGGGGGGGGGGAATTAAAGGGGAAACTAGGTTAAAACAGAGAGATAGGGGATGATTAAGAGTATTGAATGGGAATGAAGGGATAATCGATATACAATATATGAATATACAATACACAGTTGCTTCAGATTCTTTTTTCAAGCGTCATCTTGCTTTTGCCTGGGGGGTCTTGATCGCCTGGGCTCAGCTGCTATCCCAGGACTCCAGGCATGTGCCACTGTACTCAACCTAAAGATCATCTCATGTCTCTTTTAGAGATCTCTTTCCCCAAGATGAGCTTAATTTTCCTGGATCTAGTAATCCAGCATGCAAGGCAGGTCCACAGACCTGAAGGCCATCAACAGATGAACCGTGTCAGCATCTGTGAAATGTGACTCAGATTTTCTCATGTAGGATGTATGGAGAGAGAATGTTTTTCCCTTGAAGAAATCCATAGAAAGTACCTGATCTTAGCCTCCCAGCTCCACAGGCTTCTGCCCTGCTGTCCACTGAATCTGACTTCTTATTAAGAAGAGTACCTTTCCCACTGCCCCACATTTATTTCCCCCTTATGTCTAAAGCAGTGGCAGACTGTGCTGTATTTTGAATGCTAATGTTACTGTTGATTGACGTTGTCCCTGAAAAGGTGTGCACTTGACATGTCAAGGAGTGAATAATTGACAGCAGGTATAAGTACTGTTCGTGTCAAGGCTTTGTTAGGGGGTTTTGTGCAGCCTGGCTTACTGAATACCAATGATACTCCAGATTAGTGGACAGATTTCCTGCTCATTTATACATGGATACTTAAACACACTAAAGGGAAATATCTATTTTCACAGTTGGAGGAATAATAGTTCTTTTTTGAATCTCTAACAAAATTTATGATTTTATCAAATGTCATAACGTCAGTATTGTATTTCTTTCACTACTTTGCAATCTGAATCTGTTGGATTATATCTTGTTTATGTGTTTTCTGATTATTCATTTGCTGTTGAGCTAATGTGAGTGACACACAGTCTGTAACAGGGAAGTCTCACAGTACACAGCTAAGCTTCTCAGTCAGGAAGTTGAAGCCCACTTCCTTACGCTCCCACACTAACCACTGGGGCCTCTTCCCATTACTCAAGGAAAAGCCATTTTCATTGCTGATATCTTTTATAAACATTTGAATACTTTATCTTATTTCTATTGATAAAACTACCTTCATTTATGCTTTTATTTTAAACACATATTCTAATTTTATTATCATAACATATGTATTTATAAGCAGAGGCAGTCAGATCTCTGTGAGTTCAAGGCTAGCCTTGTCTACAGAGAGACTTCCAAGAAAGCCAAGGCTACACAGAGAAACCCTGTCTTGAAAAAAAAAAATTTTTTTTTTAAATTTTATTCTGTTCTCTTAGAACAGATAAACATGGAATGGACTTGATCACTGTATCAGCTGCCTCCCTCCCCTCTGTCCCCCTCCCCCCCAGTATCTTCTGCTCTATGAGAGTGGCCAAACAGGCTGGCCTCTCAGCATTAACTGACACAGAGTTGACTTCTTTTTTTTTTTTTTGGTTTTTTCGAGACAGGGTTTCTCTGTGTAGCTTTGAGCCTTTCCTGGGACTCACTTGGTAGTCCAGGCTGGCCTCGTACTCACAGAGATCCGCCTGGCTCTGCCTCCCAAGTGCTGGGATTAAAGGCATGCGCCACCACCGCCCGGCTGACTTTCTTGATCTTTAACATTTGGAAATTGCTTTTTCAGTTTGTATTTCTGGTGTTTACTGTTGCTATTAGTCCTTTTTGATCAACCAAAACCTTTGCATACAGAGCCCTAACCCTCCTTTTCTAAAATCATGTTTGAGGTACACAAATCCCTTAGTTATTTCCTATCATGATAGGTTTTCTTATTATATAGACCTGACTCACCCAAAATTTTCTGTAATAATAAGTGCTTTTAAATGCTTCTAAGTACATTTTGAGTAACAGCAATTTGTTCCATGTTTTTCTTTTAAATCCAATTATGAATAGTAAACCTTGAAAATGTAAGTTTCTATTCATGTGCTATGAATAAAACATGCATTTCATGTAACAACCAGTCTTGTATGAATTTTGAAGATTTATTTATTATTTATTTAGTGGTACTAGGGTCTGAACTTTGGGCCTCCTGCCTGCTAGCCAAACCTTTTACCAGTGACCCACATACTCAGCTCAAGATTGAAAGATCCTAATGGCAATTCCTGATTAAATTTTCCACAGAGAAAGTAATAATTGCAACCTGTATAGTTCGGGTCTTTTTCAGAATTTCATTGACTGGCTTTCTGAACGCTGGCAGTTAAAGAGGAAGATGGGGTGGAATTTAAGCAGTGGTAGTCAGGCATCCTCCCTGGCATGTACTGCGATGCTGTCTGTGGGCTTCCTCCACATGCAAGATGACCAGGAGACGTGCCGTCTGCAGTCATCGTGGTAACCTTCTTGAAATAGGTTTTAATTTTCATTTTATTTTAAAATCCCAGAAAGTTTTGGAAGTCATCTCAGGACTTCCCACAGGGCCTAGACCACAGTCCTCCAGTGAATAGTCTGACACATCTGGCTGACATGTATCTTGAGCTTGATCTAGGGCTTGCTTCTCTTTCCTTCACATCAGTTAAGTTTGCCATTCAAGGCCTAGAATCTTGATCAGGATTCCCCAGCTGCCTTTGGGAAAGGTGAATTCTGTTTTAGCTACTTCCTTTCGTGAAACAATTTCTTAAAATGTTCTTGGGCTAGAGATGTAGTTCATTGGTACAGGACCTCCTGAGTACACACAGGCCCTGGGTACAGCATTACCAAAAACTGAAAGTAAAAAATTTTCCTTCATCATAAATAGCATGACTTTTTAAAAATCACCCAGGCACTGGAGAGATGGCTCAGCAGTTAAAAGCACTTGCTCTTAAGGACCCAGGTTCAACTCACAGTTCCCATATGGCAGCTCACAACTGTTTGTAACTCTGGAGATATGATGCCTTCCGCCAGCCTCCATGACCAGCAAACACACACATAATGCACATACATTTATGCAGGCAAGCACTCACACACATAAAATAATAATAAAAAAAAAAGTCATTTTTTTAAAAACCACTCAGAGGTCCAATGTAGTAGTGCACGCCTTTAATCCCAGCACTTGGGAGGCGGAGGCAGGTGGCTCTCTGTGAGTTTGAAGCCAGCCTGGTCTACAGAGTGAATTTCAGGACAGCCAGGGCTGTTTCACAAAGAAACTCTTGTGTGGAAAACACACACACACACACACACAGGCACGCACGAGCACACACGCACGCACGCACGCACGCACGCACGCATGCACACTACTGAAAAATGGTTGAAAAGTCCTTGCTCCTCTCTTCTGTCCCTCTCCTAACCCGCCCACACCACCACTGAGGGTTTAGCATGTGACCTTCCAGGTTGTTCCGTGACACATGCTCATCTCTCTTCTTTGACACACCCCGTCTTTGGAGAGCAGTAAGCTCACGAGCAAGGAACGTGGAGCTCTGCAGTTGGTACCCCAAAGAGCTCTGCAGTTGGTACCCCAAAGAGCTCTGCAGTTGGTACCCCAAAGAGCCCGCATAGACGGGGAGGTGTTCAAGAGGAAGTTCAGTTTGACTGTGGTTGATTTGCTAACGTGGAACATGTCCTGTAACGCCCATAACTGTACTGTTTTCTCTTCATAATTTTAGGTTGTTAAAGGCCTTACCTACTTGTGGAGTTTAAAGATTTTACACAGAGGTATGTTCTGGGTTTTACATGTGAACTTAACGTGGGGATGGTTTAAGAAAAAAAAAAAGCATTTCAGCCAGCTGATATGACCATAAAAAAGTGATTGTTTGTAAGTGTTACTTTTCTTATTTTCTTCCTCTTATTTTCATTTTTTCTGCTTTTTTTCACTATAAACCAAGGGATTATATTTTTGTGAATCATATTTATCAAACATGCAAAACATATTTTGTTCTATTTGAAAATAGCAGACTCTGTGTTATTTAACTGTTGGTACAGCCCTCCCCTTCCCACGGTCCTTAGGGAACTTCAGGTGTCTTCCTGAAGAGATTGCGCTCTGTTCCCTGGAAATGAAACTTCAGACAAGAACCTAATGAAAGAGTCAGGAATGGTCCCTCGTGACGTGGAAGGGGATGGTCTGGTAACTGTTGCGTGTTACAGGAGGAGCCTCCTTTTGTTTGTTTAATGTTCCCAAAATGTCTGAATTCATTTGAAGCAAATTATGAAAAGAGAAAGAGACGGTAACCGAGCCAAACCACACATTCAACTTAGTGCACATCTGCTTACCCGGGCTCTGTGTACATCGGGGGAATGCAGCAGTGTGCAATGAGAGGCCATTAAAGGAAAGGGTCTTTTTGTTTTTAATTTGGTTTTAGTTTTTATTTTTTAAATTCCCCGCCCCCCAAGAACAAGCTAAAGCTCTTGGAAGGAACTCACCCTATCTTCAACTGCAGTCTCCTACCCAGCCTGTGTTCTTCATAGGTGGTCTCAATAACCCCATGCTTCCAAACTTCTTCATCCTTTTTAAAGAGAATATCTACATTTGGAAAAGTATAATGTTCACTTTTAGAAGGCATTCGTGCTGACTAAAGGGAGTCTTAAGCCCCCGCATTTCCTCCACCCCCAGCCCCATAAAGCCATTGTGTTTCTAGAGTGTAAATGGTACCAGGGCAGTGGCTGAGAGAGTGAGCAGGGCTGGATTAGTATCATTTTCCTGGGTGATATGTATGTGATCGATATGTGAACACATCTGGTGAGTAATGTGTAAAAGAAAGGGAACATTCTAACCTGGTGGGCAGAGCTACCCTGTAACGTGTACTCCTACCCCTGTGCGGCACCCATGGAGCCCTTACAGCCGGTGACTGGTCCTAGTGTTTGCTTGCCTTTTCCAGACATCTGCTGTGCATTTGGCATGGGATCTAAGGGAAGGCATCAGTGCTCAATAGCAAAGCCTTCATTAAAAGGACCATGCTGTGGAAATGAGAATGTTATTATAAATTGAAACTTAGGATTGTTCTGTACTCTAGGCAGACAGGATCATTCTGAACTAATGAATTCTCTCCAACTGTAACTATGGAAAATGTGGTTGCTCAAAGAACTCTGATGGATAGGGAAGTGTGCCTCAGATATTCCAAAACATCCTTTCTTTTCCTCTTTGAGGTAACAAATAATGCTGACAAAGCGCTGTTCCTCTAGAATTCCTGTTTCTAAGTTATTTGGGTTAGTCTCACTCTGTTTGTGAGAATAACCAGATTTGTTTGTTTGTTGAAATGATACATCATTAAACATGTCTCAGATGGATTTTGTGGGGATCTGAAAATAAAGCCCAGGGTCAGATTACCAGAACAATCCTCCTGTGATCATTTAGGCAGGCACAGCTGACCAGAGCCCTTGGAGTCCAGTGTACACTTCTCTTGCTATTTGTAACCTGGGCTCAGAAAGGACTTTTGGTATGTTGTGGGAGACGGTTGTGGTGACTTGGCTGATTGCTGATACGGAATCTTTCTTTAGGTTTTTCCGGCCTACTCAACACCCAGAGTAAACCGCTATAAACTATTCCTGTGGGAGGTGTCTGTGAAAGCCATGGGGATGGGTTGCCACAAGCCCTCTCCAGGGACTTCTGCTTTAGTATGAATCAGGGAAGTCGTGTATGTATGTCTGCCTAGATAGAAAGGTGACTGGATCACAGGGCAGATGAGTGTGTATTCCCTCGTAATGGGCCCTCAGCTCTCAGAAAGTGCTGTGGTAATAATACATCTTCTTAATAAATTTCCATGTTTGGCCTTGGAGTTGCATAGCCATTCACAGAGGCTTTTACCTTCTGGATGTAGAGTCAAAAGAGTCGGGCCCTGGAGACTTTTGTAAAGGACTGTACTGAGAAACTTAGCCTAAATTGAGTAGGTTTTGTCCATATTTAATAACTTGGATTTCATAAAAATAAGATTAAAGATACCTTTTTATTTACCAAAAAGCTATTTAATTTTCTCCTTGATTAAAAAATTGTAGCTTTTTAGATGAGTTCAATCAGGCAATTAAAGATCAGAGCTTTTAAGTTCAGCTAAGGCAATTAAGTAGGTAATATGGTTGTTTATACACTTGGACTGTATACACACTCACCACTGTTCCTTCTTACACACACATAGACTCATTTTTGCTTCCTCTGATTGATGATGGGAATACATCTGAATATGTGTCACATTGTCAAATCAAAGCTGGGTCCTTTTATGGAGGCTGGGGGAGTCTGGTCCAGGCTGTGTGAGAAGACAGCCAGTGAAAAGAAGACAACAGAACACTAATGAGTGATCCAAGCTTCCCGCTTTGTGTCGGCCTAAGTACTAAGAACTGTGTTCTCCTCTGATCATCCTTTTCTAAGGCTGCTCCCCCCAGACAGAGCAGAGAATTAGTAAAATGACATTACTTTATACTCAGAAGCACACATTTTTCACAATGAAGAACTGGAGATATGTTTGGCTGCTTGATACAAAAGAACAGACTACTTCTCCCATATAAATGGCTTGGTCTGGTATCCTGGGTTTTAACTACGAAAGATGGAAAAGTGAAATCCAGAGCCTTTTTCTCGGGGTAAGTGGAGACTATAGAGCAGTCTAAATAAGAAGCAGCCACAAACCTTTGCTCCACGATTAGTCTGGCCCCCTTAGTTTATCCGGCTGCACGTTATGTCACCCGGAAATGGTGGGACCTGGAGTCCAACAGCTCAGGCTGGACCTGGGTTCTCTTCAGTCAGCTGTTTCTCTTGGTTAGCATTTTAATATTTGAGATGATAGATGGGAGAGGACTTTGTGAATGATCAAATGTTAATCCTGTAGATAGATTTTTGTTATAACTATGAATTAATCACTTCATCCAATCAATAAGAATACTCCATTAACAAATCCAGCCAAGGAGAGAGTTATTGTGCTTTGTGTTACAGGGTCAAAAAATCCATAACTCCCTTTCCTAAGCTAAAGCAAATGTGATGACATCACATGAAGATATACTTATTTAAAATGTTTGAAACGCCTACCAAGATTAACTACTGTGGAAAAGCTGTCTTCGTTGTCAAATAGAAGTGAGCGCCCTGTGAGCAGGGTCTTTGCTGACCGTGGGTAAAAACAAAGACAGTGAACAGTGAGAATGTGTGTTGGGCCAGATCCGACATTCCAGCAAACATTGCAGCTTAACTTCAAAACATACATCACCACTAATGAGGTGAGAGCCCTGCATATTAATAAACCACGGCTCCAGTCACAGCCATCATTACCCACATCAAACATAAATACAAGATTAACACCTATGCCATTTCTGTGGGAAACGTGAGAATGCCCTGGCAGTAACTGCTCTTGCTTTCCCCGAGGATAAAAAAGAAATGGAAGGGTAATGAGAATAGAACTAAGATTAAGAAAATAAAACCGGCCGTCAGTTGGGGCCATTGTACAGAGATGCGGAAAATTATAGAGAGAGAATGCTAGACCTCTGTACCCCAGGATACCTTTCTATATATGAACCTGGGCAATTTTTCTTGCCTTCTCCGATAGAAAAGCTGGACATGGTACATGCATGTAATCCCAGCCCTTGCGGGGCTGGAGCAGGAAGATTGTGAATTTCAGGTCAGTCTGAGCTATAGGGTGAAACATCTTTTTAAAAAAAAAAAAAAAAAAAAAAAGCAGCTGTGCAGAACAGTTTTTGCCCAGCTAGATCTCTGTGTGAAGAAAGAAACTTTGGTCTGTAGCCAGACCACCCTGAATGGACCCAGTCTTGTCTGATCTCAAAGGAAAAAACAAGCCAGTTCTTACAGCATCCGCAAACACGCTAGAAGTCTTATTTTCCCTGGTGTTACCTTCCTAAAACTGACCACACTTGGACTTCTCCAGGTGCAGCCTTAGGTGTGTAAGCTAGTGTTAGTTTATTCCAGGTGTCGGTGAGAGCTTGGAAGATGGCGGTATATGTAACACGGGCTTTCTGCGTTCATGAAGTGTATTTTAGCAGGGTGGGTGAAATGGCGAGAGAGACAGAGACACAGAGAGAGAGAAGCAAGGGAGGGAGGGAAGGAAAGAAAGAAAGAAGGAAAGATTCATAAGCAATAATTACAGTAGTATTATAGAATGCACTAGAAAGTGGTTAGCTAAAGGATGGAAGCATTTAGTAGATCCAACACCACAGGGGCATGGGGGGCTTGCTCCCTTGGCGCTCACAGCGACGATGGTTGTGGATGGAGGCTTACAGGAGTGGAGTTGGTCAAGCTAACAGGAGTGCATTTCTGACAACATGGCCCAGCACCTCCTCTCGTAGATATTTACACAGGAGAAATGATGCATGTGCTCCACAAAACTAGTGATCAACTTTTCCCAGTGGCTTTATTCATAAAAGATGTGCATTGGAAATAACCAATTAGTCTTTTAACGAGTAAATGGGTAAACACGCCGTGGTGCATCCATACAGTGGGGCGTGACTCAGTAGTAAAATGACTGAACTTTTGTCCTCGCAGCAGCGTGGACAAATTTCAGATATGTCACACTAAGTGAGACTCGGTTTAAGCAGTACTCTGCGAAAGGTAGAACTGAGAGTGGAAAGCCTTAGTAGCTGACGGAGGAAGGGTAGGTTGTAAAAGCATATGGGCAACTTAGAGGGGTCATGCTTCAGGGACCCAGGCAGAAGTTAGTGTGTGTGTGTGTGGGGTTATTTTGTTTTTTAAGGAAGGAAGCAAAGGGGACCTTTGCTGAGGTGGGGAGATG